CAAGGATCACCAAGGTGTAGTTAAACCAGCCCGTAGCGTAGCACTGGTCCTCCGTGACAAGGTCAAAGCTCAACGCGACCGAATGCAAGCAAAATGAGTAATAACCTTATCTCCGAACTGACTAAATAGGCCAGCCAGATGATAGTTGTGGTCAAGAAAGACAAGATAAGAATATGCTTGGACCCAGTTGACCTCAACAAAGCACTCAGGAGAGAGCATTACCACATGCCCACGCTGGAGGACATCGTCACAAACATCGAGGAGGCCAAGTACTTTTCTATATTAGACGCCGCCACAGACTTTTGGCAGATTCGACTTAACAAGCCCAGCTCGTATTTCTGCACCACGAGCGCGCCTTATGGAAGATAGAGATTCCTCCAGATGCCGTTCGGAATCGCCACTGCCCCAGACGTCTTTCAAAAAGCAATGCCCTAGGTGCTCCAAGGTCTCGACGTGGTCGAGGTGGTCATGACCGACATACTGTGTGGGGTTCTACAAAACAAGAGCACGCCAGACGTCTACAAAGTGTCCTGCAACGCTTATAAGAGGTGAACCTCAAACTGAACCTGGCCAAGTGCCACTTCTTTAAAGCTGAGGTACGCTACCTCGGCTTTGTGCTAACCGACAAAGGACTCTCGATCGACTCGAACAGAGCACAGGACATCCTTGCAGTTCAGGTCCCAGGTATTCGCAGACAGAAATAAAGAAAAAATGCAAAGGAAAGGAAGACATTCCTGGGAATGGTGAACTTTGTTGCCAGGTTTATCCCGAACATGTCGGAGTTAAGTGCACCTCTACAAGACTGCCATGCCATAACATGAAGACTTTCATGTTATGGCATACGTGGCACGCCTTTGATACTTATTCATTCATATTTAGAACACCGTAAGCAATCTGTCTCCGTGAGTGATCATGTTTCCTCTTTGCAAATCTTGAAGTTTGGTGTGCCCCAAGGCAGCATACTCGGCCCTCTGTTGTTCAATGTATATATAAATGATCTAGTCAATATTTGCCATCAAGCACGTTTTGTAATGTATGCAGACGACACGAGTATATTTCTGTCTGCATCGAATATGGACGAACTTATACCCATGGGAAACTTAGTTTTGGAAAAGTTTCTTTCGTGGTCAAAAATAAATGGTCTTAAAATAAACACTGTAAAGTCCAAAGCAATTTTGTTTAGACCTGTAAATAAGCACGTTATTAGTAATTATACTTTAGAGATTGGAACTGACCAGATTGAAATAGTTAAACAGCACAAAACGCTAGGTGTCATTTTTTCAGAACATATGCAATGGGATAATCACATCGAATACTTAGTTACGAAACTGTCAAAAGTTGTTGGAATAATATGCCACTGTCGCTCCTTGTTGCCTGTAAATATTAAAATGCAAATTTATCATGCTCTGTTTAGCTCACAAATTAACTATTGTCATTTGGTTTGGGGCACAACAACCAAATCTAATATTAACAAACTCACGATCCTACAAAAGAAAATGCTGCGTTTTATTGCAAACGTGCCTTACGACACTCATACTGAGCCATTATTTCTTAAATTCAACATCATGAGGATTGCCAGTGTATACGAGTACCGTTTGCTATGTTCTTATTTATTTTCGACCGCTGAGTTTGCTTCTTTTTTGTCTAATGTATCCCATCTGACAAAACGTGAATCTTTCATCCTTGTCAGACGCAGAGAGTTCTGGAACGTGCCTCATTTTCGTACAAATTATGCACTCCAATCTATTGCGCATAACCTGCCTTCATTACTTAACAAGTTCCTTATAGACCACAATGATATTCACTGTTTAACAAAAAAAGATGTACGTGTTTGTTTTGTTTAGTCAAAGTGTATTCTGTAGTACTTGTTGTTTTTTTTTTTTTTGTTTTTTTTTTTACAATGCCCTGTAAGTGCAGGGGCACCAGGCCCAGTCAAGCTACCTCATGGAAGCTTTTTGTCTGGTGCCCTCAGCACAATATTGCTGAAAATAAATATTACTTACTTACTTACTTACCTACTGAAGAAGGACAACGCTTGGGTCTGGACCGACTCCCAACAAGAGATCTTTGAGCGTCTTCGGACAGCCCTATCTCAGGCACCGGTTCTGGCATACTACGACAAGACGCAGTCCCTTGTGTTGCAGGTAGATGCTAGCCAACGAGAAGTAGAAGCTGTGATCCTACAGAATAGAAGCCCCCCGGCCTACTCTTCTCTCTCACTGACTGAAGTTAAAGAGTGATATGCACAAATTGAAAAGGAGATGCTAGCCATTATGCATGGCTGCTCACGCTTTCACGACTACGTATTCGCTCAGCCGTGCATTCTGGTGGAAAGTGACCACCGACCTCTTGAGGCGATCTTCAGGAAACCACTTCACCAGTGTCCGATACGTCTGCAAAGAATGTGCCTGACTCTCCAGAAGTACTCACTTCAGTTAAAGTACAGGCCGGGAAACGAGATGTTCATCGCAGACGCCCTGTATCGGTTTCCATCGAAAGAGAAGGCCAGAGGAAGAACACTTTCAAGTGAACGTGATCCAAGAGCTTTCTGTTTCCGCGGAAAGGCTTCCGCAGATCGAGCGGGCAACGAACCAAGATGAGGTTTTTCGTACCGTGAGAGAGTATGCAAGCACACAGTGGCCAGAAGATAAAAATGCCATCCCCGAACGAATCCGAGTTTACTGGCCGAACCGTGATGAGATCCATTTGGAAGGCGACCTCCTCTTTCAATCATACAGACTGATCATTCCCAGCACCATGATGAACGAAGTCCTAGACCTCCTGCATGCAGCCCAGGGGGGTACAAAAAGATAAAGCAACGTGCAAGAGACGTCATGTTTTGATCTGGTATATCAGCGGACATCCACGAGAAGCGGAAGGATGTGCGCTCTGCAGACAACACAAGCCCAGGAACCAACGGCTGCCGATGATGAGCCATGATGTCCCAGAACTGCCCTGGCAGACAGTTGGCATGGATATTGTCCACCAAGCACCAGAAAAGTATGTGATCATCGTGGTTTTTTATTCGTTTTATTTCGAACTTCGACGCTTGAAACACACAATGTCAGATGCTATCATAAAGTTCTGCCAAGAGGTCTTCGTTATGCATGGTCTGCCCCACAGGCAGATCAGTAACAATGGGCCACAGTTTAACAAATGAAGTGCTGTTACATCATACACGCGACATCAAGTCCACACTACCCCCGCTTAAACGCAATGGACGAGCAAGCCGTCCAAGTGGCAAAGAAGCTTGTGAGAAGGACTCCCTACGACACGGCAGAATTCTACAGCGCCTTGTTGGAATGAAGGAATATGCGAAGAGACACGCTCCTGCAGTCCCCAGTTCAGCGTCTGATGCGAAGAAGGACAAGGACATTGCTGCCTACGCATCGCAAGCTTTTAGAGCCTGAGGCAGTGCCACCCCAGCAGGTGACTGCAAGACTTAAGGAGATGCGCCAGCGCAAACAGACCTACTACAACCAAGGTACTAGAAGTCTGGGGCGTCTGCACCCTGGGTCGACGGTCTCCGTGTTCGACTGTCGGATCTCTCAGTGGTCGCGAGCAGTCGTAGTCACAGACGATCCTGCACCCAGATCCTACATAGTGGCGAACAAAGATGGACAGCAGCTTCGTCACAACAGAGCAGATCCGCTCCCGCAGCCCCGCAACGACGACGCCACAGCCTTCGGGAACCCAACCCGTCGCACTACGGAGAACCTCAATGCAGCCCCGCAAGACACGTCGTTACATAAACTGTGACTGAGCAAAGCCTTAGCTCCAGTCTTGTTTTATTTTATTAAAGAGAGATGTAAGCAGCGGCATCGTTATACGCATTACCGGTACAAACAGCGCCGCCAGCCCTCGGTAGTCGCAACCAAAAGCGCTAGAATAAACGTCATTGTCTCCCAGCAGTCACCGCGTTCGGGTGTTTCCCTACGCGCATATATACAGTAACGTTGCCTTAAAATCGTTTTCTTCACATTCCGCCCGTTGAGAAGCAATGATAAAGAGTCAAAACGCTCACTTGGTCGCCACAAATCGCCGTCTTCTTCCAAATGGTAAATACCATGTGCTATGGTAACCGTGGCTATAAAACCGAAGCGACTGCTGGATAGACGCACACGAAAACGCAGTCGGAAGCTAGCAACAGCCGACGCTATGTTCTCAATGTCGTCTGATAATGCATACGCGCAAACACTAGCTTGGGTCTCCAATCTAAGCTTCCAAACAGACCACGCGTGCCCAATATAGAAGACAAGGTACGGTCTCCTGTATTGGATAAGCCTATTGGGTATGGTTCTCCTGTAACCTTTCCACCGAAACGTCATCACTGCTGAATACACATAGTGATGCTCAGCGTGCACAAGCATCACCACCAATGAGTCTTGCAGCCTCTCACAACGAACGCAACACTAGCACGCGATGATGCAAAGGCAGGCGCGTTCGCCGGTTTGCAGGGACTCTCGTCTGGCCAGTCCCAAGCGGCGTGCTTGCCCCTTGGGGCTTACCATACGAGCGCGTCCTGCTCTCAGGTTCTACCTCAGCGCCTGCGCGTCCGGTTTTGGCTAGAATTGCCGCGCTGATTCTTAGCAGACCGTGTTTGGAAGCTTGCGTCGGCCATTGCTCGATTCAGAAGCTGCGTTAGGTGTATACGTTTATCCGGGAGAGGCTTCGCTGCCATGGTAAAGGTGACTGTAGCAGACAGACATTATTGTGCGGTAAGGAACTGAAGTAAGCGGAGTTGAGGCACGTGTTCTGGCTCTTTTGCCAAGTATTTTTAATATGGAAAACTCTAACACGGAAAGTTCGAAATTAAGACGACTAGGATGTCTGCATGTTTCCGGCCCCTACTATTTAACGGACTGTACAAGATAAAACATATTTTGAGCTCGCAATTAAGTGTAATCTTTTTTTTTGTTTTACGGCAACGTGGGGCTAAGCTACAGATAAGATAAATATTGTTATGCTTACGTTTATGCTTGGTCCACTTCTGCCACCAGGAAGACAATATGATGCTGGTGGACATCTGCGAAACTGGTGGACCGAAAGCGCTAAACGAATTTTTTTAGAAAAAGCTCAATGCTTCATAGAACAGTACGGCAATGTTACCGTAAAGGAAGTGAACTTGACGGTAAGTGAAATTCCTAACTTACATGATGGTCGGATAAAATAATCGTGGATCTTCCTTTAACAACCGAAGTAGCACATAACAGCTGGTTGTGGTCGGGGCAGTCCTGGTCTGCCCCAAGGTCCCACTGGACCTGGACCGGCAACTCCCACAAGAAGAAAATGGTCGCTCCTGGTCAGGACCCAGGACCGAACCGGACCGGACCAACTGTCGCCGTGCCGTGATCCGACGGCCGGACGCTATAGCGAAAGGCCTCGCGATAGAGCGCTCCTCGGCGATTACGGCATCGGCGGCGCCCAGCGGCGATGTTTCCAGTGACTCCGCGGCCATGATACCAACGCTAGTTAACCATTATTTAACGAAGATTTTAAAATGCACCACGTTCATTATGGAAGCAATTGAAGCCGGAAGGTGATTCCATTTTTTAAATATACGAGGAAGAAAGGATAAATGAAATGTAATTTGTGTTAGCGCTTGGGACGCCAAAATTTTGTTGATGAGCAAAATTAAATTCGGCGTACAATTAATTTGTTCCGTAGTATAGAATTATAAAATTACACTTTGCGAAATGAGGAGAGAAGTGAAATTTTCCGACGTGGAAATAAGGGAGGGAGCCATAAGGTTTGATACCATATTTATTGCACTACTTGTGTAATGATAATTGGTGAGTATGAAACCAGCAAATCTGTTTTGGATGGCTTTCAATGCATCAATGAAAAATTTATGACAGGGATCCCAGATCAATGCTGAATATTCTAATTTGGGTCGAATTACGGTTCTCTGCAAAATTAAATTCAAAGGAACAGGCGTTGGTGAAAATTACATTTAAGGTAACCTAACATCATATTAGCATTGCGCGTGATGTACTCAATATGAGTTTTCCGGGAGAAATTGTAATTTAAGTGCACGTATAAATATTTGTACAATGTAACAGCTTCTAAGTTCGCTGAATTAGGATGGTAATTAGAATTTTCGTCGGACTAGCGATACGCGCATAGATTTGCATTCGTCAGAATTAAGGCTCTTAGAACATGTCACGCCACTGGACAATATTGTTAATATCAGACTGGAGCACGTAGCCGCCACTATGGTCAATTATTTCCCCATAAATCACACAGTCATCAGCAGGTATACAGATAGGTAAGGGGATGTGAAGTGGACGATTGTTAACATAAATTAAGAATGGCTATGGTCCTAAGACAGATCCCTGCAGAACACCGGAAGCAACGGTAACGAGAGAAGAGCTGGAATTATTGACAGTTACAAATGGTTGGTTAAGGATGATTGAATTCATGCAAGATTGTTAAAGTCTATATTGAAGGACTACTGAGTAGAAAAAACGGTCTGGTTAAGACACGCGTCTCAAAAAATAAATTTAACACGAAAAACAAAAGTTGAGCAACATTGACGGCGGGAGACGCGATTTAGTCGGTAGTCATTTCCTTTCCACTAGTTTTCTCTCCGCGTTTCGGGCGCGTGGAGGAGAGATGGATCGGCTTTGCCGTTACGTTGAGGTGCAGAGAGTGTATGACCATCTCGTCGAGGGGAAAAGAGTGTATGACCATTTCGTGACATCATGAACAAAACTTAAAATAAATCTTGCGCCGTCAATATTGCACACACACAAAAAATATATATATTTTTCTCGCTTAAAGTGAATTTTTTAGCACGCGTGTCCCAACCAGACTGTTGAAAACAAAAACATTTTTTTAGACAGACTGGGAAAAAAACATTTTTTTTCAGTGGCTTCCTAATTTTTGATAGCCGAAGAATCAAAAGGTTATTTTAGACTTGTTCGAAATCTTTGGCAAAGTTCAAAAATATGTAGTCAGCCTGCGATCCTAGGTTTATTATATAATGACGATCATGAATGAGTGATAGAATTTGAGTTTCACTTAAAAATGTCTTTTGAAACTATGTTGAGATGGGTTAGAAAATTTGTTCCAAGAAAGTGACCAGGTGGGAGACTATTATATGACCATGAATTTTGCAGAAAGCACTGCAATGAAAATCACCCGAATATTGAAAAGAGAATGTTTGTCACCTATTTTCTACATGGGAGACACTTTAGCTACCTTCCACTATGAATGAAAAACGGACTCTTGCATAGATTGTTGACACAGTGTGCCTAGTATAATTAACGAATATGCGTTAGTATTCTTTTTTTATTTAGAATCTCTACAATTCACTCCTGCAAAAGGAGATAACTTTAACCTATCACTATGATCTTCAACCCCAGCACAATATGGCAGAGTGCTCCATTCGCAAAAACTCAGAACTGCGCAATACTGGACATTCTTGCTTATCACCACGTGACAAAGATTTAGCGAAATCTGTACTAAAAACATTAGGACTCGCTTTCTACGGCATACCAGTGCCGCTCCGTGTTTTTAGCACAACTGAAGAATTTGATATTTTCACACAATGTTCCAAAGTTTTATGGGTTGCTAATAACATTTCCGGTAGTTTGCGCATGAAAATAATAAACCTTTTCATTGTCAATGTATTTTTGGTATGCCTCAGCGGCTGTGCGATATTTTGTGCAACGTTGTTTACACGTTGTGAAGTTAGCAGCACTAAATAAACGTTTATTTTTATTTGAAAGACGCTTGAAGGCTTTATTAAACCACGGTGGCTGGGAAGTCTCAAAAACTGTCCTAATGGGAATGGACAGATTGCTTAGTGATGTCATTCTAAAGGTTTCCAGTTGACCATAGAGAGAAAAAAAAAACACGGGTTTTTTCCCTCTACGTTCCACTGGAAACCTTCAGAATCATGTCATACCAACCAGCTCAGCTCCAGGTAGTGAATTGACTTTGTTCTGAAGTCACTGCCTATTTTATTCAGCTAATCTGTGTGGGAACCGCACCACGAAATTATCTAGAAATAATGCTAGTTTATTTTTAATATTCTCAAAGCCATCTTTCGAATAATCTCGAATTAGTTTTGTGCGAGTGGAGGGTTTGGGCACTGCAGCTTTAACATTAAAATGCCTAAAACAATAGTCAGTAAGTCCTGGTAGATGTAAATGCGAGAAACAAGATATGGATGGTTTGACAAAACATGATCCAAAACATTTGTTGATGACGGGGTAACTCTCGTAGGTTCAGTGACTAATTGCATTAAGTTAATTTCTAAGCAAAGTTTAAGAAAGTCATTACATTCGGATGAATATGTGGTCGTAGATGAATTACTCCTTGTCCACACAATAGGAGGATAATTAAAGTCACCTAGAGGAAATATCGAAGAAACGGTAAATCTTGTAAATAAGGTACTTAATGAGTCATACAGAGCTTTAATGAATGTGGATACGCTAGGGGATGTAGAAAACGTTAGGCGCAAACGACCTGGTTAAGGTTTATAGTAATTTAGGCAAACCCCCGAGACTGAGGAAAGGCGAAGAACAACACAACACAGGAGAACAAAACGTGAAGGGGACGAAGCTTGCATCTTGCAGAATCAGGGTGTGTTGAGTGGTATTTCGCTTTTCCCTAGTCTCGAGGGTTTGTCCTAAATTCTCCCAAAATTCCTTTGTTGCGGTTAGGACCAACATACATCCAAATTATTTCTAAACAGCTAATCGTATTTACAAAAAAAAATATTTACATGATTTGCGACTGCAATAAATACATCGCCACCACTCCTATCCCATCTGTCGTTCCTCTACATGTTATACTTTATTAGTCCATCAAATAATTCACAGCCACGCAACTTCAAACAAAACATAGTTTCTGTCAAAACAGTAACATCATCTTTTAAAAAAAGACACTTGAACACAATTCACCACGTTTTTTCACAAAGCATCAATTATTAGTGAAAAGGACTGATACATTTGCAAATGAATACAACACGACCACTACACTTCGCGGTCTGTTATTCCGATCCCGACGCCTCAGATGGGTTACTAAAAAGAGAGAAATCTGTGCATTTGCAACTACTCATGCTGTAGTAGGACCATTTCCAAGAATCGTATCGATCACCGGATAGTAAATGAAGCACTGAATGTTAATGTACATTTTATTGTATCGAAGCTTCAAAACGCCAATTTCTACTTTCGAAAATTATATTAGATTTCTACTTGCGTAACTAAGCGAAAATGTTTCACTCATGCTGACACGACTAGGTTTTAGCAATTATCTGGAGAGTAACATGTTGTCTTCTATTTTAGTTACTTGATGCAAACATTACCATAACATGTATACACTTACTCTCACAGTAAGTCCTAATTCTGCGGGCACGTATAATCGCTTTTCCGTTACTTGGAGCTTTAGTGATCACCTAAATAAATTTAATACAGTGTCGTCTGTTTGTGGCCGGGTTTCATATAATGTATCAGCAATCCTGTAGAAAGCTAAATTATCACGAGGAGAACGATCTTCTTTTATTTGTACGTAGATCCCAGCTAACTTTTTTAAGAACTTCAATCAAACTTCGTGTCATGCAAACCTCTTCGTTAAGCAACCTCAAGGCAGCAGTTTTAGTTTGGACCTCAGCCAATCTCTCTTTAATACCAGTTATGGCGGTTTTTATAGACTATTGGCTTTGTTTCACTTCGTTAAGTGACGTGACTGTTCCCAACTAAGTCTCAGCGTTTACGAGAGAGCGTTCACAGACTAATTTTAGCATATCATGCACCTCATTATTTTTTTTTAAGTTCAGCTTCACTCATCGGACCGGGATTGGACTCAGCGTCACCCGAAACCTTAAGAAAAAGGCCCAACATATAGCAAAGCCACACATAGTTTTCTCTTCGCGAAGCAACGTCACGGCAGCAGTTTTAGTTTGGACATCAGCCAATTTCTTTTTAATATCAGTTATGGCGGTTTTTAATGACTATTGGCTTTGTTTGACTTCGTTAAGTGACGTCACTGTTCCCGACTAAGTCTCAGCGCTTACGTGACACCGTTCACAGACTAATTTTAGCATATCATGCATTTCATTTTTTTTTTTTTAAGTTCAGCTTCACTCATCGGACCGGGATTGGACTCAACGTCACCCTAAACCTTAAGAAAAAGGCCCCCCATATAGCACAGTCATACATAGTTTTACAAAACACACGTGAGCACGGAGACACCAGTAAGCACAAATTGCTTCTTTTTCACGTTAAACACGAGACTTGAACCAGCCTGTACGAACAAAAAAGCGCCATGAGTAGTCTGCATGTCCTCGCAGATCCCGTGCTCACTCAAGGCTGGACAGCGATGACAGCCGTATATAAAGCGTTTGCAGACGGTTTCGTAGAAGCCGCTGATGTTGCCATTGACGGCGCTCCAGTTGATTCAAGGGAATTTTTCAATAGTAGGTTACCCGGCAGATAACTGGTGTCACCTCGGTGTCGATACGCTTAATCGTGAAGATTGAAGTGATCGTGATCCAAAGTCATACTGTAAACACCGGGTAAAGGGAAGAAGGCCGTAGACTAGAGGCAGGCAGTAACCTGAACTAACAGGAGGACGCAATGAGTGTTCTGCATGGTGTGGCAGATCTCGAGCTCACTAATATCAAACCATTCGCATCCTTAAATAATATTCCGTTTAAAAAGAAAGAAAAGGACAAACAAAATAATGAAGTGTGTGAGCAAAAGTATTACCATACGGTGAAATTCGCTACCCGGTTCCAGAAATATGAAATTTTCTGGCAAGTACTGTCTTAGGACAGTGAACTCCAACAGCGAAAAAAATCTGGTGAGACCCGAGGTTAAATGCCTCGTTACTCCAAGAGAATAAAAACGCTACCTGTGCCGCACGAAACCATTGCTTTGCGGCAGAAACCAGAGCTTTATTCAAGTAGATTCGTGTGGCCACTAATTTAGGAAACTATATCAAGGAAGTTACTTAAACAAAAAAAAAAGAATCCAGGAGACAGTAAACTTGGTATTATTATTTTATAATACCGCACATGATGTAAGCACAGGAAAAATGTCAGTGCCTCAAGGCCAAATGTTCCGAAAAGCCTATTTTAGTGATACGTAAACTATGAGGGAAACCGATTTTCTTTCTCCCTCTCTATCTTTTGAGATTACATTCCAACGGGGATGGTTACATCACCGCTCAGATGAACCGTTTCATTACACAAAATCTTCGACTAGTTAAACACGTTGAAAATATTCCCATTTACCTGAAAACAACTGCATAGTTAACGTTCTTGGAAAGAAAGTTCTGAAAAAAATGCTTGACACGTTTACATGGTTTGTATGCCAAATTAATTCTCTCGTAAAACGTGGTGAAAGTTTCACAAGATTCTGTTCTTTCCACCACTAACCTGCAATTCTCCAATCTCGTCAAGCACATGCTTGCTACGGTCTAGTTCATTATCGATGTGAACATAGATCACCATTCTCAATGTATAAGAGAGTTTTGAAATATATATATAGAGAGAGAAAGAGAGGTGACGCTATTATCAATAGAAGATACTGAAAGTTTGATGATATAATTAAAAGCAGCAGAAGAATGAAGTAGTGAATCTATGTCCCACTGCTTTATGACTCCGCCTCCAGCTCAGGTCTTTCTTCAATTCACATACCATTTAACACCGAATGACAAAGTGAGCCAGTAAAGTTTCGGGTAAATCGCTGCGTTACTCATCTTATATGCATCCTAGCCATCGTTGTTCAGTAGTCGCACTTTTGAGGTAGAGCGATTAGTTTGAAGTTATGGGAATATGTACATTCTCTCTCTGGAGGTATGAGCGATAGTTTATAGTATTTTACGCTCTTTCCAGTAATGCAACGCATATGTTTTTTTCAGATAAACGGAATAAATACTCAGGGTGAAAATATTGCCGACTATTCTGGCATAAGAGCGGCGTATCTGGTAAGAAAGTTTGAGGAGTTAAGTAAAGCATTGTTGGGCAGTCGATATATCTAGCTTAAGATTAATATATCGATCTTTGCTCTCCATTTACTTCAGGCATTCAGAAAGTTTAATGACACTGACGAGGTGCTCCCCGGGTTAAACTTAACAGGAGACCAGCTGTTTTTCCTTTCAAATGCAATGGTAAGTTTCATCTTGATATTCTTCATAAGTCCAGTAAATAATATTTAACAAATGTCGATAATATTAATCTCGGCGGCAGAATTTGGTGCTAGATCCAGCAGGACATTTCAAAAACTGTAGCCCAATCCTTGGAAGAACGTGACTTTAGGGCGACTCCATGCCATTCCAGTTAAACCGAGAAAAAAAAAGCAAAACATATATTCTAACCAAGAGAAATCATTTCATACTTTCATATAAAGTTTAGAGCTATCATAATTCTGGCTATATGTGCAGAATTTTTCACTTCACTTACGAATGATTTTACAAACTGTATGGTGATCTGGGTTCTTCGTCAGTCTGCTCCTGAACAGCTATTTGCCCCAGTTCCCTTTTGTCATGCGCTTTTTGGCCATGTGACATTAAAATAAAAGCGTATTTGATTTGAGTGTTTTTGTTTCTTGGCAAAGAACAATATACCAACGAACCTTCAAGTATGTAACGAGTAGATTGCGGAATACTCTCAACAGCTTAAGAACACATTTAGCACATGTTAAGTGTACTTTTTGTTTAATAATCCATTGAACTCTGCCGCGAACCTTTACCTAGTTTGGCCACCATCGCGTACAAAGCATATTTCATGTAGTATTAGTTAACTCGACATATAAACCAAGTTTACACTTTTTATTATACCTTTTTATTTATCTGCAAAATTAAATTTGTTTTTAGTGTACTATTTTGTGCTGATCCATAAAAAAATATTAAACACAGACCGATGACAGAGAAGATGTGATGTAATAAACATTTAGCTCATCTATTCATGTGAACTGACTAGTAGACCTACTAGAACAAATTTACACGAGATGCAATAAAAACATTCTCACTGACTGGGATACGAGAGTTAAAAGTAAATTTTGCAGGCGCCGAAAACAGTAAATAATCGCAATATATTGAGCATGGTACCCTTCGATTAGCAGTATGTTTTTGCTACGTTTCAGAACACAGCTCTTAGGCGCCCGTTTCCTGTTTGAGCGGCGTCGCCGTCGGCGTTGCAGTCGGCGTCGGCGTTAGCGTCGGCGTCGGCATAATTGAGCGCGTAGCAGTGTGGGAAAAGTTACCGCTAAATTTACCAGGGAAAATTTTACGCTTAAGTTTTCCAACTAAATTTAGCGCAGAAATTCACGATCGGTGACCTCAACATCACTTCAGTTTCCCCGCTGAAATTATCGGGGAAATTCTTGCCCCGTTACCTCAACTTAAATTCAGTTTATCGATGAATTTACCGAGAAAATTCACGTCACGTGACCGCAATACCAATTCAATTTTCCCGCTAAATACAGCGGAAGATGTTTTTTTCTAAATTGGCTCACCAAATTTAACGGAAAATTTAGCAAAGAATTTCCCGCTAAACGGGAGGGCAGAAGGCCAGGAGGAGAAGAGGTACGAAGAAGGAGGAGGAGGTGGATACACTCTCCTCCTTACTCCGCCCTCCTCCTCCCCAAGAGCTGAGCTCCAATTCGGCGCTACAAAGATTAGAAACCTCTATATTTTTTGCCCTTTCTAGATATGGTGCGAAAACAACAGGGTAGAAGAACTGCGACATCATGTACAATATTACCCCCACAGCCCTGGCAAGTATCGGTGAGTAAATGTTTATGGTGTGAAACGAGATCCTCAAAAATAATTCTGTGTGTCACTATAACGAGCACTCTCATACCACAATATTCTCCTTGCATGTTCAAAAGTTTATTCAATTTTCTTTATCGTACGATTGAAGTTCTTCATAAGGCGGAGATGTAAAACTAGGCAAATTGGAAGTTTGAACACACTTAAATACCCCAGCGACGAGGGGACGCAAAAAAGGTGTGAGAAGCACCAGAATATCTTTTGATTGTATCGTCGCCTCCGCGGTTTTCCATTATGTTCGCTCGCAAGCTCCACCGCTCAATCATACTTATCTCTCTATGTTTGAGATCAGTTTTGCCGGTACGTCATTTGAGAAGCTTGATGCTGCAGATATATTAGAGTGACACCCGTAAATTTTGTATTTCTAAGTGTACAGTTATTTGATATACGTGTATTAGAAAAGACACTCCTTTGTATTGTAGAATCGATGTTTCACAAAATCGCATAGCTTAGCCTTTTTGGGAAATTTCCACATTTCAGCCGCTTCCCAAGTGGTATTCATATAGTTATGTTTCTTTAAGTTTTGAAACATCTGTGCTTTGAACGTGTAATCTGCGTAACGTACTGAAACAAATCGTGTTTTATTACGTTAAACTGTGTTTAGTTTTATCTCTATATATCTTAAGTTAAAAGGGCTGACTGAGGAAGTTCAACAAGGACCTCCATAAATCCTCATTGCTTGGATACAATAAAATCCCTATCTCAAGGCTTGCTTTTACTAGCCTTATTCATGTATGGCTCATATTGTCACAAGTGACAGATGACGAGGCGACGAATGTAGAGAAACTGAACGTTTAAGTTGGTGAACGTGTGTCGAAAACAAACATACAAAGAAGAAGCGCCGCAGAAGTCAAAGATCAACGGAGTAGCACGATCAATGGCGATAGCGATATTAACTCAGGACCGCCACGCGGAGCATCTTTTGTACCAGCGTGGCATTCTGGAACATTCGGCGCCGAACGGTAGGCGCGTAGACCACTCGTAACTCGATCAGGTGACAAGGGTCTTGAACTTACAAGAATATCAAGTCGAAAGAATAAATAAAAAAAAAAGAGGAGTCCGCTTCCTGGAATCGAATCTTGAGCCTGCAGGCGATAGCCGAGCGCGGTAACCATTCGGCCACGCTCGCGCTCGTTCGACGACGAGCGTGGCAGTACTCCACCCTTTTGAAAGCGCATCGTCTCGATGCAACGTGTCAGGAAACAAAACAGCAAAACAAACAAAAATAATGGCGCACTACGGAAGCCTGTAAAACAAGGTGCCATCTAGCGTAGTACAAGAATGCAGTTCATAGTACTATATATATATCGTACTACGGTTTGAGACGCACGACGTGGACGAATTTCGGTCCTGGAGGGCAGCGTGATGTAGTCAATGTTCCGTCGCGTATCACCTCGCAGTTCATATCTCCGAATCGGCGAAGCACTTTGTAGGCCATGATGTAGAAAACCCGAGACTGTAGTAAAAGCAGAGAAACTTAATCGACGAAAAAAGGCGGCGAAAAAATATTTACATTTAAAGAAACTTTTTGGAACTACTTCCGAGTTGCATCGAAGCATGGCTAATACAATTACCGATGGATTTCATACGCACTGTCTCTCTTATGAGCCTCTTAGTGTTGTTGCACTCTCTGTGTACAATGTGAGTTTGCGACCAATGTGCCGTACAGTAGTTGCACTCACTAATGTGTTTAGCAATCTCTGAATTGGGTGCATTTATTTTTGCAAATTTCTTTTGTGCTCTACCAATTTGTCATTTACACACCTTGCCGTTTGTCTCACGTATTTGAAAGCGCATTCCAGTGGTATTTCATAGACCACCCCTTCCTTGCAATCAATCGACTTTTCACGGCTGCGCTTTCCAACACACTTTCTGACTCGTCTGAAACGGTGTCACACGGTTCAGCTTAAAGTCGGACTTAAACGCTACATCTATCCCAAATTTTTTTGCGCATGCTTTAAGGTTTTGAGAAATTGCGTGAAAATACGGAATAACCGCATAATGTCTTTTTGCTTCCTTTTCTGGTCGTTGCTTAGCCTTTTGCTGTAATTCCAATTGTCTTTTAATGAACACACTGTCATAGCCTGCATCTTCTAACCTTCACCACTGCCTTTCTACCGCACAGCCCATAAAATGGCCACATGACTTCTCTAGTGCGTTGCTGATTATAGACCTGATTACACCTGCCTTTACTGATTTAGCATAACAACTTTTCCTACTCAAAACGGGTTTTTCGGCCATTTTTCCGTACTCCCAACATAACCCCCCCTCCACTAGAATGCGTAAGTCCAGAAGTTGTAAAATACCATTATTCGCCTTTTCTAAGGTGAACTTAAGCTCCGGCAGCGCTCCTCTCACTCTGCGTTCCAACTCGAGTAGATCTTCGCGAAATGAGCAGATCAATATGTCATCGACATATCTCCTTACAAAGCCCGTACTCGATGAAATACAATTCAGTTTATCTGTTACGGCAGCACCCATGGTGTTAAGGTCTATTTCTGCTAGCATTGGAGCAACCGATGAATCTATATATACGCCATCTCTTTGTACGAATTTTCGTTCACTGTACTCGACTACCGTTTCCTGGAGATATAGATCCAGAATTGACAAAAAGCTATCCACTGGTATACCTAGGTTGGACTGAAAATGAACCAAATTCGATTCCAAAGCCTCACGAACCCTCTGCACTAGACGTGCCTTATCCAGCGAATAATATAAGTGGTCTATGTCCATGGAAACTACCGAACATCTCTTTCCATGAATTCCTTCCAGGACACTGATCAATTCATTCGAATTCTTAAGGGCGAGACTTTTTTCGAGCTGCACAATATTAAACCCTTGTTGAAGAAATCGAGAGAATGTGTGCTGCCACGTTTCCTTCTCGTTCACCACTACACGAAAGGACCTGTCTATTTTGTGATCTTTTACAAAAATAACTTTACACTTAACGTCATTCCTGCTTGGTTCGTAACCTTTTTTTGCCAGTGCGTCTAACCCATCTTCCTTTAAAACCGCTACAACACTTTTTTCAGTTTGCCAATATTTCCCCTCCATTCAAAAAAAAGAGAACTCAAAGCGTCAGACGATTTTCTTTCGAACTTCGTCGACGGCAGGATAGCGAACTTGCCGGATTTATCTGTCTGCACCACTTGAAGCGAACCTCTTCCCAATTCTCTCTGAACTGAAACCACGCCTCGGTAATTCCTTCGTTCTGCTTGATAAGATTTATCTAGAAGACATTCCATTCTATCAACTGCCTTATCTACAAACGCTACCCTCTCGTCAAAATTGGTCACCTTCGAAATGTCCTGAATCGAGGCAAAAACATCCGACCTCCAAGGTTTAACATGTAAGCAAAATTTTGGGCCTTTGCTTAACATCTGCTCTGCTTTGTCCGAGATGCCCACATTGCAAGGATTAACAATGTTACATTTAGATCCGTCCGTCACGTGTCCCGAACTTGGTGTACTTTCACTCCTTTCTCTGGTCTTCGAATACTCTTAGGACTGTCTAATACTATTCTTCGCTTCAAATACCACAGCCGCTCGAAGAGTTCCTTTTCTCCCGAGTTCCAGCGACGATAGTCCTGGTAGTGACTGTAATCCTTAATAGTTGTAACTTGTAACTTAATAGTTGTAAGTGAATGTGCGATGAGTAATTTTGTCGGGCAGGGGTTCAGTTGGAAATCCTATTAGTTCTCGTTTAGATGAAAAACAGCCTTTCCATACTCCGGCTGGAAGGGAATTTCGTCCGTGTGTTTATTTTCCTTAAGGTCCTAACCTGTCAATTTGGGATTGAGGTCACCGTTTACGGTTGAGGTGAAGACCAGTGTGGGTAGGATTGTATGGATAACAAAGGTTGACCTTGTTACGTCGGTTGTTAGGTTGTGGATATATAAGACATTGAGGAAATAAACGCAGTAGTTGAGTTTGAGACGTACTTTCCCCTGTCTTTCTTCTTCGACCAAGTTTCTCTGCTTTTACCACAGTCTCGGCTTTTCTACATCATGATCAATATCCACCACCTCGCCTGCGCGCTCACTGTTTTTGATTCACTTTGTAGGCTACGAAGTAGCGTTTTAACAGCTTCTTGTTGAGACCGCGGCGGCGAATAGATGTCCACACCCACACTTTCCTTCCGGATGAAGGCTGTAGCGGCTAGCGTCGACACGTTGTTTGTCTTAAATCCGGAGTCGGACGAACTGGCAGACTTCTGTTGTTATGCGCAACCACCTGAGCGTCGCCGCTCCCATCGTCAGCTGACTCGTGGGGCAGCATAGCGTAGGCCATCGCCATTACCTTCCGACCACGTACCAGATCTAAATCTGTAACTCCGGTGGTTTCTTGAAGCGCAGTGTTGTAGGGAAACGTGACGTAGGGCAACACATCGTATCACGTCTAGTGCTCTACGTCGATGTATAAAAAGATAATGTCAACGACTGTATTGTTAAGCCGCTCCGTGAGCCCGTTCGTCTACGGGTGGTAGGCCGTGGTGTGGCGAGGACTGGTGTGGCTGAGCTGAATAATTTCTTGTGTTAGCTGCACCATGAGCAATGATCCCCGAAGTGTAATAAGGACTTGAGGAGCGCCATGTCGTAGGACGACGGACCCGACGAAAACGTTGGCGAGTTTCACAGCAGTCCCGGAGGGAAATAATTTTGTCTCGGCGTATCGTGTTAGATAATCACTGGTTCCGATTATCCAACGGTTTACAAGGCTTGGCTGCTGAAAACGACCAAGTAGATTCATTCCAATCTGCTCGAACGGTGCAGTTGGCGGAGGAACTCACTGCAGGAGACCTGCCGGCTTCGTCGGCGGTTTCTTGCGTCGCTGGCACTTGTTGCATAATTCTGTGTAGAGGTGAACGGTTGTGGAAAGCTTGGGCCAGTAATACTTTTGCCAATGCAGGCCAGTATCCGGCTGTAACTTAGGTGTCCGGACGTCAGTTCGTCGTCG